AATTGAACTGGCCGTGGCCAAGGACGCTTACAACCACCTCACTACTAGCCTATACCACCCACAAGTCGTGGGTGCAGCATGGCGTTGCAACCTATTACAATTGTTGTCACACACACAATGGGAATTACAATTTCCTAGGTCTAGAAATGGCCCCTCCCCCGTCTAACACATTTTATCCCAATGCTCCAGCTCCGCCTGGAGACGCCCTTTGTACTGGGGGTGGATGCACCCCTTCCCAGCTCCATTGGCCTCTAACCAAACGTCACAAATGATGTTGTTGGAGGACACCTCCTCCCGTATTTGCCGTCCTTTGGAAGAGGATCAAAATATCATCAAGGTATACCAGAACAAACTGACCGAGGAAGGGTCCAAAAATGCGGTTCATCATAGATTGGAACACCGTAGGTGCATTTGTGAGGCCAAAAGGGAGGACCCGGAACTCATAGCTGCCGAAGGGTGTCCTAAAAGCTGTTTTCGGGCAGTCAGTATCCTTGATGCGCACCTGATAGTAACCTTGCATCAAGTGAAGGCAAGAAAACAGGCGGGCATAGAAAGCATGTTAAGCATATTGTCAATATTGGGAATTGGGTAGCGGTTATGGAATGTCAGCTTATTAAGTGCCCGATAGTCAATACACATGCATAGAGTACCATTGGCCTTGCGTATGAAGAGACCGGGAAACCCCACGGGCTCGTGCTGGGCTAAATGAGCTGACGCTCCACCAAGTAGTGGAGTTGTTATTTCATTTCCTCAAGTTTTGGTCGTGAATATCGAAACATAACCCTATTGAATGGGGGAACATCTGCAACCAAAGGAATAGTGACATCTTCCGGACGACTGGGAGGGAGGCTTGGTAAGGCATCCTTGAAGGCTTCCGGAAACTGATCTAAGATGCGTTGGATACGAACAGGATCCAGACCGGTGAGGCTTGGGGCCACTCCCCGGGAGCCGGTACTGGGGGGGTTATCCCCAGTACCGGCCGTCACCTTACCCGCCCCCGGTATAGCAGGGCGCTAAGACTACACTAAGGTGACCGTAGCCCTATTGGGGCCGGTCACCTTAGGGTCACCCTTGCAAACTATGCTGGGGGCTTATATGGTATAAATTGTACTCCTATATACTGATACAACAATACACAAATATCAAAGAAATCAAACATGATTGTAAGAAAACATGACGTCGGTGACTAATAATATCTGTCCAGAAATCTGATGCACACTGACATATGAACTAATGTCCACACTTGGGGAATGTTGGCACCTGAAATATCGACATAGCCATCAGCATGTGTCGGATTCTTAGACCAACATTGTCAGAACCCGACATTCGGCAAATCTTGCTGACAAAAAGTTTGTGACTGTAGTGCAGGAATTGCTCGGGCAGGAATGAAGGCCTATTGATCGCTATTGAATTCCCCCAACAATTGGGAGGCAACCCCCATGTGGATTGCTCTTGCCAATGTGCTGCTAGACCCCCATCACGTAATCCCATGGTTCCCAATGGAGCTCCTATCCATGATGATGGGCATTGCCCTGGTTCCGCACTATAGGGCCCTTCTTCACGGGTCCCCAAAGCAGACAGGATGGCCGTTGGGCATCAGCACAATGTCTCTCTGGCCAACCGGGGGTGAGTATCAATGCAGGGAGGCACGGGCCTCTCTGAAGCGAGGTGCTTGTGGGGGCTTTCGGCGTGTGGGATGCCGAGTTGTGCAGGGTTACATGATTTCTTTCCAATTGCTGGCATACAGCTGGTGCCCTGTTGGATGGAGCCAGTGTCTTGTTGCCTGTTTACCACTAGTCCTTGGGGGTTGACGTCACCATGCTTACTCTCAACGTCAGGCTCTCCCCATGTAGCCGATGCCCCGTTAGACAGGGGCCCCTTGGATTGGGTAATTCTGGGCCTCCCGGAGCGCCACCTTGGCGAAATATAGGGCGTCTATCATTATTGGATTGTCCCTCTTTATTGGTGCCCCAAACAGCTTTGAATAAAGCAAAATGGGTATTGTCGGCCTTTGGGCGGCTCAAGTGCGCAATGAGCCTTTGGGCTGTGGCGACCCCGTGGGTACGGGAGGCATTTACGAAGGTCACGCGCGGGGAAGACACTTCTGTCACTCACGATCCGAACCCATCATTACAAACGAAGTGAGTGGTAATTATAGTGCGATTGTGTGACAATTCATGAGTTGCTATCTCCAGAATACCCACTCTGGCCACTTTCACAAGCTGGCCGGGTTCGTGTCCCTTTCTCACGCCAAGTTTCTATTCCCGCCACCCAGGCCAACTATGATCCATTGCCGACTAGCCCAGCAACTACCCGCGTACACTACCCACTCCCACTCTCCCTCACTCCCACACTTCCTCAGCTTCTATTCCCGCCACCATCCCCAACTATGATCCAACCCCGAAGCCGTCCCCGTTCGTTCACTATAGCCAACTCCCCTTAACTGGCTCCCCTATCATACGTACAGCGCCACTCCCCACTGTACCATAACTGTAAAGATGGCTGTTCATTACAGCACATTTTGCAGTAACTCAAACACTCCCCAAATCTCATCCTGCCCAATTGTACCCCACCCGCCAAGGGCCTCCGCGGCCCCGCTGGTGCGGAAATGGCGGGGACACCAATGTTCTTTACCGCGTCGCGTCAACCCTTTTTAGCCAGGTGTCCCAGGGCCTGAGTGTACTCAGTGCATGGTTACGCCAATGTTTTTTGACACATCGCGTCCGCCCTGTACGGCCTCGTCGCCCCCGGTCCTGAATGTACACGGCGTACGGCTGCAACATCCTGCCACGTCACGTCAAAGGAAGCGAGAACGCACAGAACCCCCCGTCAACTGCTGCTCCTGCAAGTCCAGAGGCAGACATGGCTCCGGTGCGGCCACGATAGGCGCATCAGATCTCACTCCACCGCACTACAAACCACCCATCAGCGGCCCAAACCCACCACCTAAGATTGACAGCCATCAGGCCAATCTTGGGGGCCAGGTTCCGTGGCCGCGTGATCCGCAATTTCGCTCGTCGGCCGCCCCCCCATCAGGCGCCCCAAATGGTGCGGTGCAATGCATTGCAGCCCGCATCAGACCCGCGTTTTGCAAAATCGAGCGCCCTAGAGCGAAGCCAAGGACAGCGAGGACCCGACAGCCGCTCGGGAAGGCACACGGCGACCTGAGGGGGCGGACACCGAAGGGGAGCAGCTCAGAGGGGAGCCGAGGGAAACTCGGCCAGTCTTTCTGAGCCCCGTGGGGAAATTTTGGAGAAGGGAAAGTGGAGGAGGGCGGGGGACGGGCGGCGTGGACATGGGCGGCGCCGGGCCGGGCTGGGGGCAGCGGACTCTCCGGTGGCTGGCCTGCACGCTGTGCGTCCTGGCGGCTGCAGGTCGGTGCGTGCGCGGCGCAATCGCGGCCCCGGAGAGTGTGATTGGCATTGGCTGTCGTTCCCCGTGCTGCGCGCAGATCCGTGCGCAGGGCGATCTGGGTTGGAACTTCGTCGCCCTGCATTGAACGGTGTGGCGTCCCAGCCGGGTGGGCACCGGAGAATGGCCGGCATGGTTGGGTGGGGAGGGGGCGGGTGGGCTGAGGGCTTGTAGGGGGTCAGGGCGATGTTTTGCGGCTGTGTGCGATTCCTGGTGCGGGCTTGCGCTGGGAGCCGCTGAGGAGTGTTGGCAGTGGCTGGTGGGCTTTCGGGAGCGCGAGGGCCGCGTCGGCGGGCGCCTCGGCTGAGCTCGATTTCCGCCGGCGGTTCATTGGATTCACGGCGGGCAAAATGGCGGCTCTTGGTCCGTGTGTGAAGTACGAGAGCGCTTGCGTGCGGGTGGATGGGGTGGGGGAGGGGGGTGGGTGGGATTGGCGCGGGTGCGCCGCAGCCTGGGCTCCTTGTGGGGAGGGGTGGGGGGTGGGGCCGCCCCTGCTCCCGTTTGCCGTGGGAGTCCAGTGATAGGGAAGTGCCTGGCAGCTTGACTGATGGGTCGGGGTGTAATGCGGTCGACCAATACATTGGGTGGTTTGGTGGGGGTGGGTGTGAGGATGCACTTGTACTGCGAGGCCTGGTAAGCGTCTCTCGTGGGGATTTTTGTACCGCGCCCGCTAAGCGTGGTGTGGTGCCGTCAGGGGCTCGGTGGGCACCTATCTACAAGGTTTCCGTAAGATTATCGATAGCAGTACGGAGGGGCCCTCCAAGAGTAAGGGCACGTGATGGCGCGTGCCCGCTGACTCCGAAGTTCACCAACGCTGCCAGCTGTCGATGGGACGTGCGGGGATCGGGCACGGGCCGTCTGTCGATTGGACCATTGAGACCGCGTGCAGCTTGCCCCCTCTGCCGCCGCCAACAGTGGCCTCTGCCCCCGAAAGTGTCGATTCGGCCGAACACGGCCGGAGGCCTCACGGGACGGCCACCCTTTCGAATTGAAATGTCCCGCCCGTTTGCCGCCAAATGGCGTAAGGCAAGCCCTTGTGTTTTGGCAATCGAAGGAGCCGAGCCCGCAAATCATCCAACGAGCAGCGACAGTCGAGTCCTCGAAGAGTCTTGAAGAATCGTGAAACCGTACTTGGACATTGTGGTGCAAGGCTTAGTACATTGCAGTACTTGCGTGGGCTATTTTTGTCCTGAAACGGGGCTGAATGCGCGTGCACGCAAATTGTTGCATTTGGTCGTTGACCGCTCGGCGACGGCCCGCGTTGGCATGGCCTGACGTCAATGAACGGTGGGTCGTAATGTGCTTCAGATAGAGGAAGCTCGCAGTGGCACAATTTTGCTGTGTTCGGCCAATACAGGGGTACGAATGTTAATAGTTCAGTGCTAGTGTTTAATAGTAACACACTGCTGGCCACGCACAGGTGGACGCATTCATTTATTTATGTTTCTATTTGTTTGTTCTCTACTTTGTCGCTCACTCAATTGAGTTGATCAGTCGGTTGGTCTATTTGCAAATTCATATACTAATTTTCCAAAATTTTAACCTACTTAATGTGGTGGCCACTAAGGGCGTTGATTTGTTTTGGACAGGGATCGATGGCGGTCAGACAGACTGGAACGAGGCCGGAATCACTTACACCAGAGGACTCCGGCAGGTAATGATTTGCCCTCTGCCCCCAAGACAAATAAGAAAAGTATTTCTTTTCTTATTTGAAATTAAAATTTGAAAAGGCACCTCTTTCAAAAGGGAAGCATTGGCGCGCATTGGGGTTGAAGTGCAAAAGAGGTGCCAATGTGCGCTCTGGGGGTGAATGGCACAACCGAAAGGGCCAGAAGAGCATGCCCACAATATTGTTCTCACGCTGTTTCCCATTTTTTTTCGGTATTGTGTTTTATCATTCTGGTGCTTCAAATGAGTGCAGGCAGCCGCACATGCTTCAGTCGCAGAGTGGTCCACTGATCAACCTGTTTCCAATAGTTCAGTAACTTTTAGGCTGAAATTGTCCAATTAAGAAGTACTGTCACTGTTGGTATTTCAAATTGCTGAGCTCATTTGTGGGCTGAATTTGAGATATGCGACTTGGCTTGTTGGCGTTTTGTGCAGTATGCACCGAACATCAGTCCAAATGCCATTGCAACTTCGAGAATGGTGCAAGGATTGCACCAATTAATTGGTTCAGATAATATCTGTATATTTATTCGTGTACTTGTTTGTATGCCTGACGAGTTAACAGTTATATTTCTCTTCTTGCATGATGTTTAGCTCTTTGAACGGCGACTTCATTGGTGTGCGTTGTGTGAAGGGAGTGATTAAGTTCTGTGTGTCGCTTTGTGTCTGTGCAGTCAGAGGCTGCTTTGATGGATCAGGTTAGCCCAGCACCTGGCTATACGGTTGCAACCTTGTGTGTGACTTCATGCGACGTCATCTGATGCCCTTGTGACGCCACATTGCATGCCGTGGCGTCACTTTATGGGTGGGACCTCCTGTGCGATGGCACATTATGTGACGTGATGTGAATTTCATTATGATGCCACTTTGTACGGCAAGGCATGAAGACTGTTGCCTTTTGCATGGCAGAACATCCTGTCATCCACCACAGCCAAAAAAACTGCCATATGTGACACATTTTCTAGCAAGTCTGCAATATCATTCTGACATCATTCTGAAGCCTTTTCCGGCACCATTCTGGTCATTTTTAACGATCGCACCTTATTTCCTCAGACATATGGACAAAATCACCCAGAGTTTCTCCTGCTCGAGCAGAGAAAGCATCTGCATGTGGAGTGCATTCTACGTTCAAGGACCCAAGCCTTCCCCCCAAAACAATTGTTCTTTCCACTGTCGATGTCAATTGTTTGTGACAACCCCTCACTTGAATAGGGAACCAGAGGACAACCAAACCAACGAGTCAATCGATCCTATAAATTCCATATTTGCACACAATACAAGATACACCATTCATATGCCATAAGTATGTATTTGATTCATGGCATCATAAAAGTTTCTATCCGTGAATCTCTTCGATGTTTGCTGACAGGAACTATTTGCACTAGCCAGTGAACCAGTGAACAATGAAACTGAAAGCAGGGTGGAGGAGCTGCTGGCCCACGGCGCCAGCCCCAACTCCTGCTGCGACGTCTTCGGGCAGTCTGTGCTGCATGAGGCCGCGCGGCATGACAACATTGTCATCACGGCAGCCCTGTTGAGGGCCGGCGCGCTCGTGGATGCGCAGTCGTGGAGCGGGGATGTGCCACTGCACACCGCTGCGCAGGTGCGCCCGGGCGTCGCGCCCAAGACTCGTTTTCTGATGATGCAGTTTAAGCCCTGGCTCTTAGCAGCAGCACTTCTGCTGAGTGCTTGCCAAGCAGCATTGACTTGGGAGAGTGCAGGACCTGAGAGGGCATTGTGCTGGGCCACGCTCTGGGTGTCTGGTCGGGAATGCAAAGTTTGCGCGCAAGAGAGTCAATGCATTTTTCAATGAATGTTTCACTTTCAGTGTGAATGTGGGCATGAATGTGAATGGAAAGCGCCCCACTTGCCTCGCTCGCTTGCGGAGGTCAGCATGGAGCTGAATACGAATGTGAGTGCCTTTGTCAGTACCTGTTGTGCTGGAAGGAGTGCTGTAGTGGAGCATCAGCAATGAGATTGTTGAGCATCCTTCTTTGAGATGTGCATTTGTACCAGAGCACTAGCAAATTTAGTCATGTGTAAACAGGTCTGCAATGTCGGAACGATTCTCATTGCTGACATCAATGGGATTCACTGGTAATATGCACATCATATGTAATATGTAATATGTGTATTCACTGTGTAACTGCCTTTACAAGCACTGTGGAGTTGGCAAGTGCAAGAACAGCCCGCACTCCTGCTACCAAGCTTTCAAGTTATGTGGGAAGGCTGTTCAAGATGGTAGAGCACCTTTTGCTGTTTGATGAGTGTCTAACTGAATTTTGACTCAAATTTGGTAGATTTCGAAGTGTGATTGAGTATTAGAAAAAGGAAAAATGAAGTATGAAATCGAGGTAGATTGACAATTTGTGTGTCTTCTTGTTGTGGCACAGGAGGGCTCCCTTCGCGTGCTGCGATTGCTTCTCGAAGCCAAGGCCAATGTGAATGCCAAGAACAGCTTGGGGGAGACACCCCTGCACCTGGCAAGCCTCTTTGGCCATGCTGAGGTGGTGAGGCTGCTCCTGAAATTTGGAGCAGACAGGACAGCAGTGTCAGATGAGGGCAAGACGGCATTGGACCTGGCCTGCAGCGGCGACTGCCCAGATGGCGCAGATCAAATACCAGGGATCCTTGAATCGGTGGGGCAGCCAGCTGACTTGAACAACAAAAATTCAACAATCAATAAAATGTAAATGACAGCACTCTTCTGTGCAGTTTTTGCCGGTGCACCACATGGATCATATTTGTCAAGATAGCCATTGGAAACAAGGGCGCTTCACTCTGTGGATGATGTCAGCTAGAAAGATACAGTCAGTCTTTTCAATGCCCCACGAACATCAATTACTGTCCTGTGCTTCAGCGATAGTATGTCGTACCTTCATCTCCTGTACATCCTTCTCATGCAAGTACTGCATTTGATTGTGGATGCATCCATAGGATAAAGATGCCTGAATGTGCGTATTGGATAATACAGATGCTGGAGATTAAGATGGACAGTATGGAAAGTAGTCTATAGTAACGGATACAACAGCTGGTAAATTGGTGCATTGCCAAATACAGAATGTATCTTCCCCAGAGTGTAATCACAAGAGCTGTGTGCTTGTACTAGGTGCCCCATGAGGCATGCTACCGCCACCCCTACGTGGTTTCACTTCGAGACGACCTCAACAGGCACATGTGCATGGGCATCCTGATCGCCCCAACGTGGGTGTTGACCCCTGCACACTGTGTTGGACCTGATTCGTTCCTGGGCCCTACCCCGCGGGTGGTCTTGGGCGGATGCGATCTGGAGGACGACCCCGATGACATCGAGGTAGGCACAGTTTTTAGCAACGCATTGGAGTGGTGCAATCTGGCAACATACTGGAGCTCACTGTGCAGGGCCAAAATATCGAGTGTTGAGTATTGTGTACCCACTTTGCTGGAAATGGTGTTCTCTCAGCGCATCAGAAAGTACTCGAATAGAAGAGGACGAAGAATATACAAAATGGAGCTGCATGTCCCAGCATTTCGTTGAAGCAGCCATCACATATGTTGCTGTTGCGATGCTTGTTATGTGGCAGGTTGGGTTCTTTAGTTTGCCTCTGGAGTGCCGCACAGGCAAGACATGTAGCTGAAGATTTTCTGGGCATCGAAATGGGGAGTAGCGATGGGTGATGGACCACTATCTACACGTGACGGTCAAACACTGGTTGCTGGCACCCAGTCTGTGGATGACATTCAAGCACTGAATGCTAACACCCACACTGTTATGATAGTCTAGCATTGATTTCCTGTAACTATCATCGGTAGTGGTCATCATTGTGATTGCACTGAAAGATGTTACCCCACTCGCGACATAAGATCGTGAGAGACATGTGCATCGCTGAATGCTCTCTATTTGGTGAAATCTCCCTGTACCAGCATTAAAAAAAATGCTTGGTGAAGAAATGGCACAAGGAACGCACCAAATTTCCAGGAGTTTGTCATTTCTGTGCCGAATTGACATCCTTCCATCCGACATGCCTGCACATGTTGAGCAGATCGTGGTGCCCAACTCCGCCATCATTTTTCCTGACTGGGACGGCAGCGTCTTCAATGGGAATGACATCGCGCTGCTCGAGCTAACCGAAGCCTCGCGCTACCAGCCCGCCATCCTCCCCCACTTCGAGTCCAACGTGACCGTCCACCGCCACCAAAACTTCGTGGTGCTGGGCTTCGATGTGTCTGGCGACGGCTCGGTGGATCTCAACCAGGACCTTGAGGCCCAGACCGTGGCCAACTCCCTCTGCGGCGCTCCCACGGCTTGGGGCGACTCGATCATCAAGGACAGCATGGTTTGCGCGTTTGGCCTCGAAGACCAACAGCAGCGATGCGGAGGTGGGGGCATAGCTCGCGGTCCGGCGTAGACGGAATGCAGCTAGTCTGAATGTTGCTTGTAAGGTGATGATTGATTTGGCTTTCAAGGCTGCCTGATTTCGACTGGGCTCGTGAAGGCTGCGACAGTGCTGTCCAGGTGTTGTGGTGCCATGGCTAGTGTTATATTTTTGTTTCCAGGTGGTGCAATATTTGTGTCGTAGTTATATTCAAATTTTTGTTATACTTATGACGTTGTTCACAGGTTGTGTAATATTTATTTGTGTCTTTAGTAGGCCGCAGCAGCGGGGCGCCTCTGTTGGCGGCATTCGCACCAGAAGGGCACTTGGCGAGGGGCGTGCCTCAGGCGGACATCTTGATCGGAATATCATCGTTCGGCGATGAAGAGAGTGCGTGCGGAGAGTCCAACATTCCGGGGGTCTACACCAGGATCTCTTCATTCCTGGAGTGGATCAAACAAAGGGTAGACTCAAATGGCGAACGGGTAAGACGTGGTGACATTGGCTGCGATGTGGCGGGTCATTACTTGGTACAATCCAGTTGAACATACGTTTATGTGTTTATGAATGGATTTGAGACGAATGTAGTTTCCGTAGTGAACACATTTGTCCCGTCATGCCCGGGGTGGATCAAACAAAGGATTGATTGGAATGACGCGAGGGTATGCGGCAGCGGCGTTATGACTGGCATTTGATCAATAATCGTCGGTTCGCCGTTTAATCATCGACTCATGTATCATTCGGTCAGCAATCTTCGCTGGAATAGATATCTATACTCGCTGTCCGCGTTTTCGCAGGCAGATGTGGCGCAAGCCAGCACTGTCAACTTCACAGTGTGAAGTACTAGTCTTTGTGCCTCTTGCTTCAGTGCATTGTGTGGGCCAATTGGGACGCTGTTCGCAGGCACTTGATGTGCAGCACTGCGTGGCCTGAGTCTCAGACTTACTTCAGAAGCAATGGCAATGGCATGTTTGAATGAATGACAGGGCATACAAGCATGTTGGCTGGTCGATGGCACGGACGGACCGAACATGTGACGAGCGCTCATTTGGTGTGAATCTGTTTGTACGTTTCAGAGTCCGGAGGCGAGGGAGCGGCCGTCAATCCTGGACGAGGCAAGTATATCTTTCACCCACGCTCCCCTTGCCATCAAATGCTTACTGCCAAAGCGTCGCACCAACTTTGCACAGAAGGGGGTTTGTCGAATGCAGGTCATGGAGCCAGTGCTGCCACTTATTTGTGGTAGTGGCGCAGATGCACGTTGACCAGGACCAAACGTGTCCCACCCAGCACGGCCATTCGTGCTTGTGTGTTGTGCATCATCGGCCTTGTTGTCTTCCACAACCACAACCAAGCACGTTCGTGCATGCGTTCGCACGACGGATTGATTGTCCTTATATGCCACATTGAACGACAAATTGAAGGACAAGTATATTGAATGTCAACGAATGACAATGAATGACAAATAGTTTGGCGGCAAGTTGATGCGACAGGTCGAATGACAAACATTGCGCGTCCGCCCGCAGGAGCTTTTCATAGCTGCGACGGACGGCGACCTCCCTGCCGTCAGGCGCCTGATCGCCAAGGGCGCGGACGTGGACATAACCCACACGCGCTTGGGCAACGCCCCCTTGCACGTTGCCGCCTGGCACGGCCACACCAAGGTGGCGGAGGCGCTGATTGGCGCCGGCGCGAACGTGGACAGGGAGTCTGACAGGCAGGGCATCACGCCACTGATAATGGCGTCCTGGAGGAACCACGAGGGGGTGGCGGCGGCGCTCATCGGTGCGTCGTGCGGTGCAAATGGGGCTGGAAACACGGCTCGGTGCATGTCTAAAGGTTCATGGGAGGACCTTTTTCAATGCCGTTGCACGAAAATATCGTAGTTTCAGTAATGTAATATACTTCAAGCAGTAAAACTTGCGCCTAAACTCTGTGGACTTAGCTCTGCGCGCTTGTTGCCAACAAGAGTGTTTATCGGGGAATGTGGTATAAGGCCCAGTGCTTTGGTGTGTTGATACACGTGTTCTGTTATTTTTGCTGTGTATTCGCCGAAACACAGACAGAATTGGCTTGCACTTGCATGCCAAACGCATGCGTTTTGCATTCAGACCAGAATTCAACGAATGCTTGGATTGCTGAGTGTGTTGTTCAATTCTGCCATCACACAAGCCACCTTCAATGCGATCTGCTACACACCTGAATTTGGGTTCAACATCGTTTCAGTCGCCTTCAGCGGCACGTTGCTACTGGCCGCTCATGCGAACTTGTGCCAGAGCCGGCTTGAAGCACATTTATGTCCCATTGCGGTGGCAAAATTTCCAACAAGCATCACCTGAAGCGACCTTTTGCCTAAAGCTGGCCTAACGCACGTTTCATGGCCCACCGCGCCGCCTGAACTTGGCCCTAACATGATCTGAGTCGCGTTGTCCTTCCTGGGTCGAAATTTTGGCTAAAGCCGGCCTGGCGCACGTTTCCCGTCTTGTTGCTTTACCTGAATTTGCCCCGAGCGCCATCTGAGTTTTGGGGCCCGCATTGCGCCTCCTTCTGCGGATTCGTGCGTCTTTTTATCTTGAGGGCACATGTTGTATCATTAAAGCCCAGAGGGTCACCAGAACTTGCAGGGCAGCTGAATCTGCAGTCTTTGTTCGCTTCATGCCAGCCGGTGGAGCGGACGTGGACAAGGCCGACGACACGCAGTTCACGCCCCTCCTCCAGGCGAGCCACCGGAAGCACCTGGGCATCGTCCTGCAGCTGCTCAAGGCTGGCGCGGACATCGAGCTGGGGACCACCGGCGGCGTCACCCCCCTCTATCTCGCGTCGGTGAGCGGGTCAGTGCCTATCGTCCGTGCCCTTTTGGGCGCAAAGGCGGACCCCAACAACGGCGATTTTGACGAACACACCCCTCTCCATGCGGTGGCCCGTCGCTTGGGGGTTGAATTCGAGGAGGTGGCTTCGCTGCTGATCGCTGCGGGGGCTGATGTGAATGCGCGAACCATTAATTCGGCCATGGAGACGCCCCTGGCGGCCGCGGCGATTTACGGAAACGTGGGTGTGGCCAAGGTGCTGCTGGACAGCGGGGCGGACCCAAAGATGAAGGTGCACGGGGGGAAGAAGATAGCGGGCTTGATATGCATATGCAAGGAGAGGCCCAAGCAGACGGGGAGGTGTGCCAAGGGGGCTTGCGGCGGGAAGGACGCGAAGGCGTTGAAAAAGCTGCTGAAAAAGAAGCGTTGAAAAATCTCTTCCCAAGATTATCTTCTCGAAAGATATATTTGTATCTTCGCGAAAGATGGGCGTTGAAGAAACTCCTGGAAAGATGGGGGCGCGAGACGTGCGGGGGACCTCTGGGCGCGGTCCCGCTCAATGCCTCGCGTCACATCGCGTCATCCGCCGTTGTATGACATCATGTGCACGTCGTGTCGACGGTGTGTGACGTCACGCGCAGCTGCCGGTGAGCCTGAACTCTGGGCCATTGGTTGACCATGATTTGAGCGGGCTTGACTTGCGACAGAGTCAGCGGGAATGAGCCGGGAAAGTGGATACGGAAATAAGCCGCGGCCGGGCCCAAGGGCCCCTGCGGGACCGCTGGCCGTGCTGTACATTAGGCTGAATGCGCTTCGGTGAACTCAATTCTTCGGCAGGCAGCCGGCATATAGGAGAAGTGGGCTCCAAACTCGCCAGGGTCACGACTGCCTGTGAATGCATGCAAGAGACGTGGCAAGGCGTGCGCATAAAAGGTATGGCTTGGTCGAGGATCGTGCCTACTCTTTGGGAAGGGTGTGGCCATACGAGGCGACTCACGGCTTTATTAGGCCGAGGTTGAATATTCATTGAACATATCCGGCTTGAGCACTCCAAGGCGGCGCCCTTGCCTTGCAGGAGGTTTCAGCGTGCCGTCCATGGGGCCCTTGCCTGTCATGTGGCTCAAGAGCGTGGGGGAGGAATTGTGTATTTTCCAAGCTCATTTTTCACGAGTTCGTTTATAGTCTACAGTTAATATTAGTGCACGCCAGAGAGGCACACCGAGGTAGCCGTTGACTTTCCTCAGCTTAGCCTCGCTCTTGGCGAGCACGACGACCTCCAGGTACTGACAGGCGAAGGCCAGTGCCTTGTGGTATTAGTGTTTGGTGAGTATGTCCGTGGCCTGAACGTGGTTGAGAACGGGGAGATGGTGTAGTGCAGACCGTTTAGAATGAGATGGGGCAGAAAATGAGTCTTAAAAAGGACTGGGCTCAACGGCTTACGTACATTTCGAGGAAATAATTTGCTCCAGAATTCAATAAACGGTTCCAATATTCGATGGCTCAATTGGCGCTGCCCATTAGAAGAGGGCGTGCATGCGTGCAGTGTGCGTCGTTTCCAATTCTAGCACCACAGGAGTTGCAAATGTTTTTATTAATCCGCACGTGCTTCAAAATTGGGAGATGGGCGGGCCGCAGAGAGGGCGGGGTGCATGGTAGCCGGTCAGGCCTGGCGTTGAATACATTTCATTGCACAATCTGCTCCACATCCCTTCCCAGCTTTGAGAGTTGCAAAGAACGTCGGTCCATTCTGGCCGTCGTCCCTGGAGATGGTGCAGTAAAGTCACCCTCAAACGGGTAGCTGAGCCATGTCGACAGCCTCAGCACCGCATCAGTTGAGGGTGCACTCAACGAACAAGGTTTGCCCCTCGCGCAGATGGGCTCTTCACAAAAAACTGCTTGTCGGGACGATGCCAACGGCCCAAGATAGCAGCGACAGCAAGGGCAAGCTCGAAGCGGGTAGCAAACGTCCAACTGCTAGCCAGCCGTGCAAATACGCTTGTAGAACCTCTCACAGCTGCCGCTCTAAGCGCCCCAACCGGTCGCAACTGCTCTTCAACAGTCGACGAAGTCAAAACGGAGGTCAAGTCCATGGGTCGGGGCTGCCTTGTCCACAACACATCACGTCGGTGTATGTCACGGGGAACGCTTCTCTCCGCCTCGACAAGGCCGCACAAAGACGAGGCTTGGCGTGTTCTGGTCGGCAACTAGACCATGCTGGAGGCGCTGTTCTCGAAGGCAAGGAAGCGCCTTGAAAATAAGGCCCAGACTGGCTGCGACCTTCGAAAAAGTCGAGTGCTATTGCGCTCAGGCTGTGGCAAACGTCGCGCACACGGCCAGGGGAGTCAGGTGGCCAGGCTGAGTGCCTAGACTGCCGCGAGAGAGACACACGAACCCCACGCAACCGTTCTTACAGCTTCCAGGCCGAGTGCAACAATAGAGAGTTCCTCTACGGCGCTGTCCGCGCCCCTCTGGCAAATACCCCCCATTCCTAGGAGATGCTCTTTTGATACCCTCTTGAACGAAAGGCCGTTGATGCGATTCAAACGGCCCCCTTTGGAGTGCACACGGGAAGCACGAATCCACAATCGCCGATGCTTCAACGGCGTTGGCACACAGCCAGACACAGGCCACACCACACACAAACCGCCGGGGCTTACATATTTGTTCACCCTTCCCACAACGAAGAGCCTTGCCGGCAGCGGCAACGGCAACGAACCCCACAACCGAACAGTTCGAATTTTCTAGCACCCACAGAACTCTTCTTTTGACATGACAACGACCATCATCCATCAACAACCAGCCATACAACACTTCAGATATACCTACGCATCGCCGCAATGCAGCCTACTTTACAGCACATATGTCAAAGGTGCCCATACACTCAGTGGTAAAGTGCAAATATGTACAAGTCGCACACCATAATGCATAAGTGATCCACCCAGTGAAACGGTGGTCATTATGCAGTGTTGCGAACATACCCGGAATCTTTCTGCCACACCTGCCACCTCACCGCAACTCAAACCAGGATACCCCACTATCCACAACTAGCTGCCACGTGTGCCCCAGGGGCCACATTCCCACCAAACAACCACACTTCCCGCAGTCAGCAACCATGTAATGCTCCATGGGGCATATTCCCATCAAACAACCATGTGGTGCCTCCACGCACCCATCTTGGCTCCGTCGCACCACGGGCCATGGCTGGCCACTAAGCGAGTTGCCCCTAAACAAACGCACATGTCCAATGGCAACCTGGGTGTTCCTCAGTACTCCCAGGTGTATTCGGGGTATGTTTGACTCGTGTGTCTCCGTGTGATGTGCTGCCACGTATTGACGTTGTGCTCCACATTTTTATAGTACCTCAGTGGACTCTTTGAGCATATGATGCAATTGCCATCATCTGCCTTTGTCATCAAAGTCATCTCCCTGCATTCTGAGTGCCTTGGGCTTGGATTGCGAGAAAGTTACAGAGCACCCCTGATTGATGTTTTGGGGCTTCTGCCTCACTGAGCGCCAATTTACTGGACGATTTTCAGTATGGCGAAGGTGTTGAGGCTGTGGACATCCCCTCTGCACCATATCTGGACCTCACGGGTCGCCAGCTGAGTGATATCATTATCTTACTAAACTTTTTGATGAGCCCCATAAATTGGCGACCCGAACAGAGTCCATCCGTGAGGTGCTTGCCCACAGTACAGCACAGCACAGCCCAATGCACCACACTACGATACCACACATTATAGTACAGCTATAAACGACTGTCCAAAGAAAGCTCGGGTGGCAACGTTCCATCCATCTCGGAATGCTCATAGAATGGAAATCCTTGCCCTGACCCTCATCCACACAAGTATTTCCAGTTTGTCATGTGCATGAACCCCATCCAGCAAAACTAATCCTGTCAATTCATGCGGTCACCAGAAAACAAGCAATCTCCCGTCCCTCCCACCCAAGATTCGAGATTCACAACAGCCACGGAGGCTCTCCTCCCGCACATGCATAGAAGAGCCCTTTCAGGCCTCGTTATTCGAGGGGACAACGACACTATCGAGCTCGCTATCGAGGAGATCCTCACCACCCATTCATGCGCCCACCTGCCAAAGCACACGCTGCCCATAGATGCATTTTACCATGTGGGCAAACCTCTGGATGAAATTTCGGATACTGCACTCAAATTAATGTGTAGCTACTGGACCGTCCAGACCCTTCCACTGTGCATGCAGCGCGTCGTGCCGCGCCTAGGCCGTCTTGCTCTGCGTACATTGTGCTCACAATCACCGAAATTTTGCATTGTTGGCCTGCGATTCCATGGACATGTCCGGTGCTGTCCTCTGGCTTCAATGCGCCCCCAGACATGCCGATACATGTCACAGATCTGCAGGGCCCCTCCGTGGCCACTAGCTGGGACGCCTCAGTCCCGCGATCGTCAAGGGGCTCGCAGGGATCCGATCAGTTACCGTCGATGGCCTTTTGCCACTGGGCAGACTTGCCGTTGTTGGGTTTGCTGACTGGTTTGGCGCTGGGGAGGTGTCCCAGTGGAGGTGGCTGGGAGCGAGCTGGAGGCAACAGAGTTCCATACAGATCCCAACCCAGAACGTCACTTTGCGGCACGCCACCCATTCAGTCCATGCGTCGTGACAGTGTCACATCACCGCAGAAAACGCCACTGAGTTCACACCACATTTTTCAGTCAGCCGCGTCGCGAGTTGAAGTGGCAGCACAGTTTTCTGAGCCTTTAGCAGGACGCTGTTTCGGGGAAAATTGTAACTTTGCCGAATTGTCTCGGGCCGCGCCGCGTGATGCCCTGCGTCCAGCTGTTGCTGGCAAGCCCCCGCGCCGCCCACAGCCCGAGCCATCCCCGGACGCAGCCCGACAGAATGCGAGTCGTCATCAGCAAGAATTCTCGCACGTCAAAAATCTGACTCAGGATACGCACTTGGACATACGGCGGCTTCCCCTGCGGTACGAGTTTTGCCGCGCGTGGCGGACGCGTTTTGACGTGTGCCTGCTAAGCTTTGGCGGCCAAGATGCCAAACCGTCAAAGTGTTACCGCCCTCCAGTCCGCCCGGGGAACGCGTGGCACTGCATGACACATCTCCGCGGGCGCAGCCGCCCATGGCATCCCCGGCATCAACTTGTCAAGGAGCAGCGAAGCTTTGCGCCAGAGCGCCGCTGCATGGGGGGCCGCCAGTAGTAATCTCAAGTTCCGCGCGGCCCCCGCCGCTCGCGCAGCTAGCCGAAGAGTCAGGCGGGGCGCGAGGACGGCCGAGGCCTGGGCCGGGACTGGGGCGAAGGTCCCCGCCGTAGATATAGATATAGCTGACGGTGATGGTCGTGAAGGCGGCATGCGGCCAAAGAGTCAGCGGCGGGGTGTTGAGGATGGCTCTGTGCGTCCTGGCGATGGCTGGTGAGTTGCCACTGATTGAACACATA